GCTTGAGCCCAGGAGTTGGAGGTTGCTGTGAGCTGTGATGCCACGGCACTCTACCCAGGGGGACAGCTTGAGGCTCTATCTCAAAAAAAATATATATATACACACACACAGTTTAGATGTTTACCTGCCTGAAATTGCAGAGCAAGCAGCAAATCTAATTCTAGGGTAGAATCTGTCTTTATTCCCCTAGTCTCCCAAACTCACCTGAGTGTTCTTGACCCCAGGCTTATGAAGTCAGAACGTCTCATGGGGCTGGAGACGGAACATTGCTAAGTGATCCCACCCTCCCCTAGGTGGGTGAAGGAGGTAGACACCTTACTTGCAGGCAGCTTAGCTGGGTTCCCAAGTCTGCTCTAACCAGCTGACAAACCACTTTTCCTCTCCAAAATAAGTGGGCATTGCCCTTTTCCAGCTGAGGAAAGCTGGTAGGTCTGTTCTGTGACCTGAGGTCCTTAGGACTAGAGGGGCCCTTTAGACTAGCTCCTTTGGGGTTCCCAATTCAGGTTTGAGAGTCAGCCTTCTAGTTTATTCTTTGGGCAAGCTTCCCTGAGCCTTTCTTTCTCAGGCACGTGGCTCTACCAGTCTATCCCAGGTCAGTCTCTTGTGTCACCTGTCCATGATGTGAGAACTAGAAGACAGCCCCTTGGCTGGTACCCTGGCACCATCCTAGCCTCTGGGAAGTGTTGCTCACCTGCCCTTGTTTAGCAAGTGCCACGAACAGAGGGCTCCATGTCCATCTGAGCAGTTGGCTGCCCTGCAACATTCTAAAAAGCAGCTACCACTGGAGAGAAAGGGTCATTTGATAGAACTAGGGTTTGATTTGGTCCCTGCCCACCACCAGGTCCCTTCATATTCTGGACAAGTCTCCAACATCTCCCTGTTCCCCTGTGAAAAGGCATGGAGATCCTATCTCCTAGTTGCAGCCTCCTGTAGAGTCACAAGCCTTGGCTACCACCTAGTGGCCAAATGTACCAGCAGAGAGGCCATTTCAGTTCAGACCTTTGAACAAGTCAGGCAGAATGTCTGTTCTCTACACCTTCCCTGAAAGAGGCTTGTAGGCCTTTTAAACAGTCCATATTCCAAGAAGAAGTGCTTTGTCTTTAGCTGCTTCTTAGTATGTTCTTATGCTAACTGGAACCTAAAATCCCTGGATGGTTCCTACTGTCACCTTTGACTAAGATGGTTCCTTCTCTTTTGAACCCTGGGCCAGGCTGCTGAGGGTAGTCTGAGTCCTCAGATGGCTCCCCATGACTGAACAATGGTCTTGGTTATTCCTCAATCCCTGGAGATGCAGAAGGCAGGGACCTGTACAGACAGTTCCCACATCTATGAAAACTTATCCTCATCTTACTGCTGATGGATCACCTCTGAAGTCAACATCAACTCCCTATCCCACCAAGATCTTCCACCCAGAACCCATAGGTCACTGATCAGAGACCTGAGTGACCAGAGGTGACATAAGTAGGGACCAGGCTTCTTTCCCCAAGCATGTCCTTTATCCCTAGCCCCATTCAACCCAGGACTTATCACAGAACTTTAGCCCATCTCCTCGGATTCTTGCCCCTCCTGCCATCTGATGTTTTTTTCTCACAAAGCTGCTGGAGGTGACAAGGTGGCATCAATACCATCTTCTCTAACCTCTTAACCCCTTAGTACTGCCCAGCCACACAAGCCTCTGCTTCAGTGGTTTGCAATCCTGGCTGTTACTAAAGTCACCTGGAAGCTTAAGTGGACTTTAATATGTTTCCAAGTAAAACAAGATGGACTGGTAGATGGATAGTAAAGTGCTAATGAGAGGACTTAGATGGTGGTATATATGTGCTTGCTATAAAAATAGTCAAAGATTTCCATAATAAAATGTTGAATACACTAGTATTTGCCAATTAAAGATATATAAGATTATCTACAAGCATCAGTATGAAATTTTTTCTAGTGCTAGTATAGAGCCAGCATTAAAAGATGTCTATTTTAGGCTAGGCAAGGTGGCTCATGCCTGTAATCCTAGGACTTTGGGAGGCTGAGGCAGATAGATTGCTTTAGCTCACGAGTTCAAGACCAGCCTAAGCAAAAATGAGACCTCATCTCTACTAAAAATAGAAAAACTAAGGCAAGATGATCACTTAAGCCTGAGTTGGAAGTTGCTATGAGCTATAACACCATAGCACTCTACCCAGGGCCACAGCTTAAGACTGTCTTGGGGAAAAAAAATAGTGTTTATTTTGGTAACTTCTTCCTGACCAAGAATTCTAAACTTCACATCCCCCACCACTCCCATTTCAGGGAATTTGTTTAAAAGTGACTTGATTTTTACTCCTAAGAGCACACCACGCTTTCTGGGTAGGAGTAAGTCCTCCCACCTGCATACCCCCATCCCTTCCTCGGCTATCAGCAGTCTGTTTTATTCCTACCTTTTCCATCCCCCTTTGTTTCAACTTGGGTTTTCTAGCTTAGTTGTCAAGGTGGGGCCCCTGGATCAGTACCAGCATCACCTGAGGACTTGTTAGGAATGCAGATTTCAGGCTCCACATCAAACCTTCAGGGTGAGGCCTAGGAGTCTGTTCCAATGAGTCCTCCAGGTGATGCTGCTTCAGAATCACTGGCCTACCTATGATCAAGTTCAAGAGAGGCTACCCTGGATAGGAAGTTCACACCTGCTCTTTGCCCCTGGAAACAGCCTCTAGGAAGACAGACACCTGTTTTAACTCTTTCATTGAACCCATCTTGGTTCATTCACCATCAGGCCTTTGGTCCTACTGATCTTGGCAAGGACAAGGTCAGAGCCTTCAGTTGACCTTATTTAAGCTATTGGATAGATTGGGTCTTTTCTGTTTCTAGGAGCCCTGACTCTCTTCACCCTGCATGGGTTTTCTACCTCCTTCCCAAGAGTTTGCTGCTCATCCTTCTCTCTGAAGGCCTCACTAAAGCCCATGGCTTTATCTACTGGTAAGTCTGTTGGGTTATAAACTTACAAGTAGTAAAAACTATCAGTCATTTGCTCCAGGAGAGCACTAGTGAGTGACCTCAGCAGGTTAAGGCTGAATCTGCTTTAACCCAGGCTATTAGAAGGAGCTCTTACCACATTTCTGGAGTCATTGGCAAAGTGGAATACATCCACTGTAAACTGGAGTGTGTCTGGCCCAGGCCTAGGGACTTTGAAGGCAGAAGAGGAATCTGAGAGACCATCAACCAGACAACTTGAAAGAGAACGAGTGAAGAATGGTGTTAGAAGGCCAACAGGTAGCTCTAGGACCATCTTGTTAGGAAGGTTCCTTAGGAAGGGAGCTCAGTCCTCACCCATGGAAGTCCACGATGGTGTGGTAAGGGGATGAATTCTGGTCTGGTGTCAGTGTAGCCACACAGCGATCCACAAACAGCCGCAGTGGCACATGGCTGCCGGTGTGGATCTCTGCCTGGAGGTGGGCTACATCTCCCAGGTGGAAGGTGGGGGACTTCTTCTCAACACTCCAGTTCTCTAGAAGAGATAGATGGTCAGGGGTTTGAGACTATCTAGAGCTTTCCCAGCAGCAGCTCTGCCCAGCCCTCCTCTCTTACCTTCCATCAGGCGCAGAGAGAAAGCCAGCTTCTCCTCTGAGAACACTGTGGTCCTGAAGGGCACCCAGGTGGGCAGGATCGCCTGACTGCTCACATTGCCCTGTCTGGGAGAACAGCAGCTGCCCACAGCTGCCCACACCTGCCCTGGGGCATAGCCCACCCCAGGCCCCCACTGGTGGGGGTATCTCATTTCTACCCTACATACAGAGTCTGCAGCTCTGCCTTAGCCAGACAGTTGAAAGAATAAAGCTTGAGCCTGTCCTTTAGCTCTCCTGAGCTTCACCTGTGAGTGGCCCAGCCAGCTCAGCCGTAATGGTGTCTGGGTTGCAGCATGATGAGATATACCTGATGTTAGAAATTTGGTTTCTAGACTAAGATCTGTTCTTTATTAAGTTTGATCCTGGAGGTTCAGATTTGGGGTCTGGGGCAGCAGCCCCTGCACTGTACCACTCAGGATGGTGGCTCTATGCTGGCTGTCTCAGCCCCAGGAACTTGTTCTAGGATCCCCTATACCCAACTCCTCCCTCCCAGGCACACCGGGTGGTGCTGCTGGGTGTCAGCACTGCCCATTATACCTCTGACCTCCTTAGACTGGCTCAAGGGCAGGAACTAAGGCCTACACAGCCTGAATGAGCCTGGTCCAGGCCCCAGCATTGTCCTTAAGAGATAGTCACTCTTCTCACTGGGCAGCTCTGCAACTTCCACTGAGAGACAGTCAGGCCCTTGATGTGTTTCTGGGGCTCAGTCTAGACTCAGGTCCCCCCAATCCCACCCAGGACAGAGGTACATAACCACAAGCACTTCCATCTCCCACAGCCATGCTATAAGCTGCCACCCACAGCTGACCCTCATGCCAATAGCTACGGCCAAGGGGCTACACTGACCTGGGATAGCGGCATTCAATGGGAACTTCGGCACGGTTGGTCCTCAGGATGGACAGGTTCCCTATGGGGCGGGGATCGTGGAGCAGGAAGGTGCTATACACCAGGGAGTCGGCTGTCACCTGGAAGGGAGAGGTTAACCTCACCAGCATCACCTGCCTACAGTGTGCCGGACCCACACGGGGACTCAGCCTGGGCAGGAAGAACAAGGCTCTGCTGCTGCCCAGTAAGGACATATCTTCCCGCTCACTGCACCTTAGTGCCCTCACCCAAGACAGTGACAACACTACAGGGGCTCTGGATCTACTAGGGCAGACACTAGAGCAGCGGTGCTCAACCTGTGGGTCGTGACCCACAGGAACTGTATTAAAGGGTTGTGGCATTAGGAAGGTTGAGAACCACTGCACTAGAGGCTTTAGGACATGTACTCCCCTTCCCCCACCCAATACAGTTTCCTTTAGGGAAGGCCTGGGGCCAAGGAAAAGCAGCCCCAGAAGCACCCAGAAGTGTGGTAATCCCCCCCCCCCAACACTCCCATGTACACCAGGTTAACGTTTATCTGATCTATCCCCAAGCCCACTTCATGGGAGAAACTGGCTCAGGAAGCCAAGGAAAGCATAGGCAGCAGCTGCCGGGGCCTTTTGCACCTTCTGGAAGGGCTGCAGGTCCCTATGGCCCAGCCTAAACTATTCAGGGAACAGTCGTAGGTCTATTAGTAAATGCTCTAAATAGGACCAGGAGCATAGTTTGTGAAGCCCCTTGTTTGAGAGTTGCAGCAGATTCCAGAGCAGGAAAGCATCAACTACATATGTCCCGCAGGGCTGCGCAGGCTGGAAGACTAGGAAGCTGCCCTGACCTCAGGTGATTTTTATTGGGCAAGATCAGGAAACACTGCAGAGGGGAATTGCCAGGATTTGTTCCACGTTGGAGTCACCTGGAGGCCTTAAAGACCTCCCGCCATGGCAGGCTCCTAATCATGCTCTGATTTAATATGGGGTCCAGCATAGACAGCAGGATTTTTTTTTTTTTTTTT